TCATTTTCTTTCTTTTCTAGCACCTCAAAAACAACTTCTAGCTCTTCTTGTGGAGTAGCTTCATCTTGAGCCTTCAACTCTTCTTCAAGCTCTTGATAATCACTTTTCTCTTCCATAATCACCTCAACTCAGAAATTCCCAATGACTTGCATATTGACAATGGCATCAAGTTGATGCTTGCTCCAAGATCACAAAGTGCCCGGCCAACATTGGTGTTGCCTATCGCAATTGGGATGTTGAAACTTCCCGGATCTCGAAGCTTTGGTGGGAACTTCTTCTGAATAATGGCACTACACTCCTCAGTAAGTGCTACTGTCTCACAATCCTGCAACTTATGCTTTCTAGACAATAAATCTTTCAAAAATTTAGCAAAAAACCTGGCATACTGTTGCTTCTGTGCTTGCTGCTTGAACTTCATAGGATAAGGAGGTTTCTCAAAACGAGAAAAATCCATCGGTTTCTTTGGAGCTTCAACAGCTTTCTCTTTTGCGTCTCCTTTGTCTTGCCTTGTAGGTTCTTCTTTCTCAGTTGCAGGCGTTTCTACCTCTTTTTCTTGCTCTGGCTCGATCACTGGTTCATCAACCTTCACTTTCTGAACCCCTTTTTGCTTGTCTTGAGGAGTGATCACAATTCCACTCCTGGTTACAATAGATTTGCAGTCTTCCTTAGGATTCACAATAGTATCTCCAGGAAACTGCCCTTGAGTTCTTTCAGCCAACTGCCTAGACAACTGGCCTATCTGACTCTCCAAGTTCCGGATGGAAGCATCCTGGTTCTTGTGGTAAGCTCTTGTCTCATTAATGTGATCATTAGTGGTCTTTGACAGTTGTATCATTGCTTTCTCCAACTCAGATGGCTCTTTTTGTGGCAGAGGAGGAGGTTGTAGATAGTTGTTGGATTTATAATCCAAGCCACTCCCTTGGTTCCTCCTTTGAAAGTTATTTCCTTGGCCGCCATTCTGATTCCTTTGGTAACCTTGAGTATTCTGTGGAGGCCGTGGATCATACCAAATTCCATTGACCTGGAATGGTTCAGCTTTATTGAGTGTAGGGCACTCATTAGTGTCATGCGGCTCCTTGCAATACTCACAGTTAAATATATCAACCTTGGATGTTGAGAGCTGCATCTTGTCCAGCTTGGCATTCAAATTGGCCAATTGCTGGGAAATCACTTTGTGCTCAGCTAGTGATGCATCATTATTCCCCAATTGTAAAATTCCTTTCTTGGGCTGAATAGATGGGAATGCTGCTGCCATAGACGCATTCTCATTCCTTGCCATTAAATCCAGCAGCTCTAAAGTCTCATCTGCTGTCTTCTTTCCTATGGTGCCACCAGCTGCACCATTGACAATCATTCTGCATTCTGGCGTCATCCCATTATAGAAGACTCTGACCTTCTTTGTATCTGGCAAGTCATATTGTGGACACTTTCTGATCAGCTCCTGGTATCGAGTCCAGGCTGCACATAAAGTCTCTCCTGGTTGTTGGGTAAAATTGGTGATTTCATTCACCAACTTATTGTACTTTTCCATGGAAAAGTGTTCAGCAAAAAATTTAGCCGCCAAATCCTCCCATGTTCTGATGCTGTTGGGAGCTTGTCGATCCAACCATTTGAGAGCTCTCCCGGTCAATGCAAACGGGAACAATCGGAGTCTGATCGCATCGTCTGACACTCCGTTGTGTTTAGTTGTATCACAGATCCTTAAAAATCTGTCTATGAAGTCATGAGGATCTTCATAGTCCTCTCCACCAAACTGAGTTTTCTCAACCAAGGTGATGAGTGCTGGCTGGATGTCATAATTATTAGCAGCAATCGGTGGTTTGACAATACTCGAGTTTGGCCTTGTGAATTGAGGAGCCAAAACTGATTCCATCAGCTCAGCTGCTGGTGGATTTTCTTCTGCCATCTCTGTTTCTACTTCAAAGTGTGAAGTAGAATTTTCTGCTTCAGAATGTGAAGTAGAAGCCTCTGCTTGCCTCCTCTGCTTGGTATGTTGTCTTATCCTCTTTGCAGTCCTTTCTATCTCTGGATCGTAAATCAAAGTTGCAGGATCAACTGTACCACGCATAAACTCAAGCAAACAGATTAGTAACACAAAGATCCAAGCAAGAAAATCAAAAGTTATAAATAACTTGGCGTAGTCAATCCCCGGCAACGGCGCCAAAAACTTGATGCGTTAGATCGGCAAGTGCACCGATCGTACCAAGTAATAAAGAGTGAGTAGAGTATCGTCTCCACGAGGATTGAGGCACCTAAGTTGTTATAACTATTCCTCTCTTGTTGGATTAATCAAAATAGGTTGAAAATGATTGTAGTTCATGAAACAAACTAAAATAATTAAAGTAAAAATGTAAATGATTCCAAAAGTGTTTTCAGAATGCAAGAACAAAAGATTAAGGATTGGGAAAATATTTGAGAAAATATTGCGGTAAAGAGAAACAAACACCTTTCCGATCCCCACCTTGCAACTTGGATTACATTTACATTTACCTATTCAATTGATCGAACAATTCATCATCTTTTATATGATTAGTTAAACCCTAATCCCTTAGTGATCTTAACCTTGTCAACTCTATTAGAATCCTAATCCCTTCGAAATCCCTTTTCGAGTTAACCCTTAAAATCAATGAATCTTTAACGTTCGCGGTTCATATAGCCTATCCCTAGTGCGTACATGAACAGTTATCTTATTCTTTGTCAGGAATTAGAATTCCAACATCCCTATTGTAAACCCTAACCCTCGCAACCCTACTAGATTGATCAGTTCCAATAGAATTATAAAATGAAGAAAAAGAAAAGATAAATGCAATTAAAATAGATAAACATAAATTTCAACCAAGGTACAAGGGGTTCACATCAAGGGTTGTGACCCTTACCACAATGATAAAACTAGCCAGACATGTTCATGTCTGACAAAATAACAATAAAATAAAGTAGCATTTAAAACCTAGAAGAGAAAGGGAAGATGAAGATCTTCCGTCTTGATCGATCGAATCCTTGAATCTCCGAGAAGCTCCAAGGAATCTCTGCTCTCTTTGTTGTTTTTCTCCTCTTGATTCTCCCAAAAGTTCCTTCTTCTTATGTTTTTGATCCTTTTATTAGGTTTTGGGAAAACCTATTTCCCTTTGCACTCCAATTGGGCCTTATTTTAGCTGATTCGCACTTAAAAATATATCGTCCGCGCACGGGGCGCCAAGCCTGGCGCCCCAAACTTGGGAGAAACAGAAGCCGAATCTGTAAACGGCGCCCCGGGCGCCAACTCTGGAGTGCCGTGCGCCAGTCCCGCGCTCCGTGCGCCAACTCCCGCGCTCCGGGCGCTAGGTTGGAGCGTCGTGCGCCACATCCCGCGCTTCGTGCGCGACCGAAACAGAAGCAAATCGTCGATTTGGCGCCCCGTGCGCCAAGTACCGCGCCCTGTGCGCCAGTTTGGCGCTCCGTGCGCCAACCTCCGCGCGTCGTGCGCCAGCGGGAAATTTGGTTTCTCCGTTTTTGCTCCTTTTTGCGGTGTTTCCTGCTATTTAAACATATAACTTGAGTGAGAACATGATTGAGAAGGAATAATCAATATTTCTTGCATTTAATGACTATTTTCACTCATTTATGATTAATTCCTTGCTTCTTTCAAGTTAGAAAACATCATATGCTAGACGCACATCATATGTATTTAAATTGCTCTCTTATGACTCAATTCTTATCAATTTTAACACAGAAAAATCACATTTGCCAGAGGCACATCACATCTGTTTCAAGAATTATTGTTGCAGCCAAAGCAATGGCATGAGCCAATATAGCTATGAGTAAAAGTAATATGATTTTGCCTTGTTCTTGATAAGGATTGGTATTTAAACCTGATGATCCATACTTAATTTCCTTTAGAGTTACCAATGATGTGATGGCAAACTCGTAGACAACATGGAGTGATGAAACAAAAAAACTGCAAACGAATTAAAGAAAATGTTATCACGCCAATAATTATAAAATTGAAAATGAAATGGTCGGTTGGGCCCTTTTAACACTCCCATGAAAGTAAAAAAAGAAAAGAAGAAGACGTTAGGTATTAAGATATACGTTTTGGGCTTCCTCCTTCAATGCTAAGCCCAAGCTCATTGATGGATTTCCCAAAAACCCTAATCTTAAACCCTAAATTCCACCTCCTCTATATATTCATTAGTTGAGGGTGGATGCTAGGTTAGAATAGAGAGATTAGAAATTTGAGAGAAAATTATTTGAGCAAAGATTTATGCTTTGTATTTGAGAGATCTCTAGAGAGAGTTTGAGTGAAACATCTCTAGGGAGGTTTGATTATCACCATTGTTGAAGAGGTTATGTTAACCACCACATTGGTGACTCTTAATTCTTTGTAACGATTATTTTCATAGTGGATTTTTGATCTGGACTAGGTCCCGTGGGTTTTTACTTATTCATTGGAGAAGATTTTCCCACGTTAAAAACTGTTTGTGTTCTCCTTCTCTCTCTCCCGTTTTTCGTTTTGATTTTCCGCAGCGCTGCCCGACCTGGTAAAGTTCAAGCCGAGATCCGAGATTGAAGATCTTGTTGATTGACTTCCGCACAAAGGCTGCTTAACAGAGCTTGAGGGAACGAATTTCCCAACAGTGGTATCAGAGCCCGAGTTCGACGGGTTCTGAGGGAGACGAGATGGAGACCAGTGGCATAACCAATGATGGAGACATGTTCAAGCTGACCGCAGACAATTTCACCTATTGGAGACCGATGATGGAAGATCATCTCTACTGCAAAGATTTACATGAGCCCATTATCCTTGATGAAAGACCTGCAGGCAAAATTGATAAGAAGTGGGAGATCCTAAGTCAGAAGGCGGTAGCCACGATCAGGAAATATATTGATAAAAGCCTTTTTGAGCACGTGTCTGACTTCACGAACGCGTATGAGTTGTGGACGAAGCTGGAGTCTATAATTCAGAAGAAGACTCCCAGGAATAAAGCATACCTGGTTCGCCGACTTGTGAAGCTTGAATACAAGGACGACATGAGCATGATTGAACACCTCAACACCTACAAAGGTATTGTGAATCAGCTGTCAAAAGCTGAGATGAAAATTGATGATGAGATGCAGGCTTTGCTGCTGTTGAGCTTGCTGCCAGAAAGCCGGGATACTCTGGTGGTGACTTTGAGTAATTCAGCTCCAGAAGGAAAATTGAAGATGGATGTCGTAACCGATAGTCTCCTGATCGAAGAAGTCATGAGAAGAGAACGAGGTGTTTCTAGCACGTCTGAGGCCAACGTTGCTTAGAACAAAGGGAAATCCGACTCCCGGGGTAGAAGTAAAAGCCAGGATCGAGATCGTGGTAGAAGAGGAAAGTCCAGAGGTCGGTCAAAGCAGAAATATGAGTTGAAGTGTTTCTACTGTGGGAAGACAGGACATAAGAAGCCGGACTACTGGACACTGCAGAATGATTAGAAGAATGGCTCTGTGAAGCCGGATCAGATTATTCCCAAGAAGAGGGAAGACAAGAGCACCACTGCGGTGGCTGCCAACCCAGATGCCGAGATATTCCTCCTAGGTGAGGATAATTATTTGAATGTTGCATATGATGACTGCACCTGGATTGTTGACTCTGGTGCCTCCTTTCATGTTTCTCCACACAAAGATTTTTTCTCCTCTTATCGAGGTGGTGATTTTGGAGTCGTGAAAGATAGGAAATCAAGTGACGAGCAAGATTGTTGGTGTCAGTGATGTAACTCTGACCACAGATGTGGGATGCCGACTTGTGCTGAAGGATGTGAGGAATGTACCTGACATGTGTTTGAATCTAATATCAGTAGGCAAGCTTGACGATGTCGGGTTAGTGAACTACTTCGGTAGTGTTAGATGGAAGCTGACCAAGGGAAACTTAGTTGTGGCCCGAGGTAAGAAGGAAGGCTCCTTGTACGTGATGCAAGGAAAGATAAATGGCGGAGAAGCCAATTCTGTTCGAGATGGATCTAGCTTAGAGCTATGGCACAAACGCCTCGGCCACATAGGCGAGAAAGGGCTCCAAATTCTACACAAGAAAGGATTATTGACCGGGTTGAAAGGCCAAGCGTTGGAGAGTTGCACGCACTGCCTAGCTGGAAAGTAGCACTGGGTTTCTTTTGTGAGACCGGATCAACCAAGAAGACGCAGGTATATTCTTGACCTCGTCCATACTGATGTTTGCTCCATGCCAGAAAGATCACTTGGAGGAGCTCAGTATTTTGTTTCATTTATTGATGATCATTCCCGCAAAGTGTGGGTATATTTGTTGAGATCTAAAGACCAGGTACTCCAATCCTTTAAAGAATTCCTTGCAATGGTTGAAAGGGATACTAGCAAGAAATTGAAGGTGGTCTGATCTGATAATGGTGGTGAGTACTGTGGCCCATTTGATGCATACTGCAGGGCAGCCGGGATCCGACTTGAGAAGACGCCCCCCAAGACTCCACAGTTGAATGGACTTGCTGAGAGGATGAACCGAACAATTGAAGAGAAGGTACGAAGCATGTTATCCAATGTCGGGTTACCGAAATCATTCTAGGGAGAAGCCGTCAGAACTGTTTTTGACTTGATCAACCTCTCACCATCACGGCCACTTGAAGGAGGAATTCCAGAAGAAGTCTGGACAGGTCAGAAAGCGACCTATAATCAACTGAAGGTGTTTGGATGCCGAGCTCGTGCATATCCCTAAAGATGAAAGGGCAAAACTCGATGCGAAGACTAAAGAATGCATTTATCTTGGTTCGCCGAGATGTGAGTTCGGGTTCCGACTTTGGGCAATACTGCTCCACATCTTAAAAACCTGTTATTTTTAAAAACCGGTTTCATATGAAATTGCATTTTATTTTATAAACTGGTTATTTACCAAACCATAAAAATAATTGGTTATCCATGGTTATCCATAACCAAACTATTTTACAATTAAAGAACAAATAAGTATTATCTTTTATCCTTAACATTAAAATGTGAAAATTACATAAATATGAACATTTTTAAATGTGACATTATTAGAAAAGTCTCAAATACTAACAAAATTTATGGAAGAAAAATATTTCGTCGAAAATTTTGACAAAAATCATATTATGTAGAAAATAGAGACGAAAAAAAATTTCGTCGAAACTAGAGACGGAACAAGATTTTGTCATAATCACTGAGATAAATATTTGAGGGACGAAATATTCAGTCAAATTTTTTGATAGAATCTAAATTCTGTCGACATTTTTGACAGAAACAATTATGTCAAACTTTTCAACGAAAAATAATTCTGTAAAAATTTTTGACGAAACACATTTTCATAAAAAAAGTTGACAGAAAATAATTTCGTCAAATTTTTTTACGAAAAATATTTCCGTCCAAATTTTTGACGAAAAATATTTCTAACAGAACATATTTACAGCGAAAATTTTGACCAAAAATATTTACGTAAAAAATTTTGACGAAAAGTATTTCAGAAATTTTTTTTGATGGAAAATATTTCTATAAAAAATTCTGACGAAATTTTTTTTTGTCAAAGTTCTTTACGGAATCTAAATTCCCTCCAATCATTTCTCTCAAAATTTTTGACGAAATGACGAAAAGCATTTTTGTCAAAAACATTTATCGAAATAATGTTTGTCATAAAATTTTTACGAAAATTTTTCATAGAAATGTGTTTCATTGAAAAATTTGATGGAAATGTTTTTGATCAAAAAACTTGACGGAAATATTTTTCGTCGAAAATTTTCGATGGAAATGTGTTTCGTTAAAAATTTTGACGGAATTTTTTTTGTCAAAAAGTTTAACGAAAATGTTTTCGTCGAAAACTTTTAGTTTTCGACGGAATTTGAATTATTTAAAGAATGTTGATGAAATTTTTTTCCGTCAAAAGTTTTCGAAGGAAATGTGTTTCGTGAAAAATTTTGATAAAAATATTTTTTCGTCAAAAATTTCGATGAATATGTTTTTTTGTGAAATATTTTGAAGAAATTTATATTCCGTAAAAAAATTCGACAAACACAATTTTCTGTCAATTTTTTTTACAGATATGTTTTAGGTCACAAATTTTGATGGAAATATTTTGCGTCAAAAATTTTTGCGGAAAATTTTGATGGAAAAGTTTTTCGTAAGAATACGTGAACAATTTCTATAAGAATCATTTCGTCCTGAGAGTTCCAAAACAATGGAGATTCTTGCAAGAAATAGTTGGTCAACTGCCTATAACCGGGAGAAACAAACGATTACTTATAAAAATAGCACAATCCACCAAAAATCAATTTTGAATTTGTTAAAAAATCGGTTTTGAACTTGATAACCGGTTTATGGTTCATAACCGGTTTTGATTTAAAATCGATTTTGAATTAAAACCGGTTTTGAATCAAAACCGGTTATAAACCACAAACCGGTTTTAAACCGGTTTGGATAAATTAAAAACTAGTTTTTTTTAAAAAAAAAGTGGTTCGGTTTAAAATCCAAAACGTTTAAAACTGGTTGGATTTGGTTTTTGACAATAACCGAACCGAACCGCTCCACGCACACCCCTAATTATTAATTCCTTAGTGTGATTTTCTATTCTAGTTATTTAATATAAAACTTTGATTTATTTAAAATATCCTTTAATTTTTTTGAATTACGATATTGATATTAATGAATATTATTTATTATTATATATATGTCGACTAAAACATGAATATTATATATATATATATATATATATATATTTATATATCCATGAAAAAGATAATTCTCTTTTCAAACCAAACTCTTGTTAATGAGAAATGGCCCATCTAAATCACTGTCTTAAAACCCCGTCCCGCTTCCCGGGTTGACACGGGTCAACTCTGACCCCTCCCCTCTAAGAGTTGGGGTCACAAGTTGGACCCTATATGCACATTGATTCCTCCGAACCCCAAAATCTAGCCGGGTTTCAGTTACTCCCGGGTCAGAGGGATCAAAGGGGGTCACTGCATGTTTTTTTTTTTAATAAAATTCCATGAAACAACATCATTTTATCCAAAAAAATAAAAATTAAAATACTTGCAAACCTAAATTTAATTTTTCTCTTCTCTCCCAACGACCTAGACATCTTCAATCTTCTCCTCACTGCCGTGAATCTTCTAGAAAAGGTAAGATTTTACCCATTCAAATGAAATCCTTACTGTTGTCGATGGAAAATAAAAACTCATTTTTACTCCCTTTAAATTTTCCTTTGTCAGGACCTTCTCAAAAGAAGCAAAACCAGGTCAGCGTAGTGACCTCATTAGAATATGAGTGTTGTACTTTGGTATCTTGATACTTTAATTAGATTGTGTAATATTGACTTGTGATTGTAATTCATGAATTATGTTAAGTATATTTTGAATCTTTAATGATTGGAGGATTGTTTTTTAATATATTCATATAGAGTATATATATCTATAATTTTTTAATATATACAACCGGATCAGCGTAGTAACCCCGTGACCCCCCGATTGAATCCGTGACTCCTGACCTCGGCCGAGTCGATGGCCGGGCCGGGTTTTTAAACACTGATCTAAATAACTTTTTGCTCAAAACAATTGCATAACTTTAATTTAAATTCAGGAATTTCTATTGATTGATTATTTATATTTTCACAATAAATTCTTATTCAAGCTTTAACGTAGCAAAGTTATATTGTACTTATTATGAATAGTTTTCTATATTAATAAGATTGTGTAACGAAAAATTAATTTTTTTTTTAAATGTTGAAACCTTCCATTCTTTACCACAGCCGGAAATCATTCAATTGAGTTTGAACTTTGAACTCTGTTTTTTAGTCCATAACTTGTGGATTCATTACGCGTGTAAAAGATACGATTTCTCTAAGGGGGCGTTTGGTTGAGGAGAAATTTTTTGAATACTAGGGAAATGTAATTGATAGGAAAATAGTTGGAAAGTGAGTTTGGTAGGAAAATGTAAAAAAAGTTGTTTGGTTAGAAAAAAAATTTACCGGACAAATTAGGTAAGATTTATAAAGTCTATGTTTGGTTTGAGGTAAAATATAGATGGGAAAATAAATGGCAATTACGAAAATATCCCTACCCTTTACTTTTTTTTAATTTTTTTAGTACAAACCTATCCTTCACGGCGATGTTCTGGTTCTGAAAGAAAAATATCAAAACAATAGCTATATTGCATGGTTAATTGACTAAACAATCGCAAGCCCTAAATACCCTTTTGGTCGAATTTTGGTAATTCGAAAAGGGATCTTAGAAAAGCAACCGATCCTCAAACCCTAACCCTAGAAAGATGCTCAAATAGGGATCGCAGATAGCGATCAATCAAAAATCTAAGAATCGATTGATGAAAAAGATGAGATTTATTGTTGTTGTAGTTGTCAAACCTTTTGGGTAAAACCGCGAGGCTGCAATGACTGAGAAAAACGATGAATCATAGTGATGCAATTGCAAGGAGCAGCGATGCAGATAAAGAGTGTGTCTGTGTTTGGCGCTAACCAAGGGTAGTTTTGGCAGCATCCATTTTCATGGATTTCACTTGCCTGGTTATGGTTGAATACCACCATCAAAATAGGATTTCAGCGCCGTGATTTTGGTCCGATTTTGCATACAAAACTGAACTGCTAGGCAAATCACTTAGGTTGCAAATTTTTAGATCACCTGTACCAAACGTGGAGAATCAACTTACCCACTTCCAAATGCCCAGCGAAATTTTGAGAAACCCTCAACCAAACGCCCCCTAAGGGGATGTGAGTAGATTTTTTTTTTTTACGAAAATCACAATTCTCATAAATATTCTGGGAAGGTGAAGTTATAACAAAAAAATATGGATTCGCTTTTTCTACAGTCAATATAGATAACTTATCTACAGTGAGCCCAAAATGACGTCATTTTGAGGCAAAAATCAAGGTATTTTTGTAATTATAATTGGCGAAAATCAAGGTATTTTTGTAATTATAATTTATTTCAGGGTTATAATAGTCTTTTTATTACAATTTTTTAACTCAAGACGACATCGTTTTGAGAGCTAATATAGATAACTTATCTACGTTCACTTTAAAAACATTAAAGCCAAAAATTATTTAGTAATCTGAAAAGTATTCTTAAAAATATGAGATGATTTCACAAAATTACCCTATTATAGTTGGGTTTTATAATAGTTATATTGTAGGAAAAGTGATTGTGTAATGTTATAGTGATTTGTTTTGCGTGCCTTGATTTTTTTTTTTTGCTTTAAAAAGTGCGGACCCCACAAAATATTATGTGTGTGTATAGAAAAAAATTTCTTGTCATGTTAAACGACAAATTAAAACCCCTTCCCTTCCCAAAAAAATTTTCTTGTCAAAACTTTTGCAAATCAACACTGAAAACAAAATTAATATTCAACCATATATCCTCAATCATTTCACAATCTCAAACTTCTCCCTCAACGCCACCCCACTCACCCACCCTAACCTCTACACCACCGCCTTCGTCCCCGTCCATGGCGTCAAAGCCGTCTTTGATTACTCCATCTCTGGCGACCCCCTCCCCCGTTTCCTCCCTCCCCATCGCCGCTGTTCATGCCCGTCGGAGACACCATCGACAGCATCGGGTGGAACACCTGAAATAGGAACTGCATGAGTTCTTTATCATGGGATGAGTATTGCAGTGTTTTCTGTCGGCGATGTGAATCAGAGGAACAGGGAAGTGGGAACATCCAAGGTACTTTAGATTTTGTGACCCATGCTAGGGCTTTAACGATGGTATTTTAGAAATGAAAAATTTGGAAAAAATTTCCACGGATGAAAATTCAAGAATACCTCCCATGGTATTCTTTGTTAGGATTTTACTTCACAATTTTAAATCTTGGGAATTTGAATTTTTCAGAAAAAATTTCACAATCCTTATATAAGATTTCTAATGTCAATTCCCCAAAATTTACCCTTCTACCGTGTTGGAGATATGATGTTATCTATATAGATATTAAGTAGATATTAAGCTGTTATGCAGTTGTAAATATTCTACAGATATAGATCACTTTGTTAGGATACACTTTGTTAGGTTGTTGATATTTAGCTTGTTGCGTTTGTTTCTGTACTTAGTTCAAGTCAGTTTCTGATTGTTATTTACCTTGCCTATTTAAAGGCACCCTTGTGAATATTGAAAGTAACCTTTTGGTACCAGATTTCATCTTGGTATCATAGCGATCATATGAGAAAACACTTCCGCAGCGTGAGAACTTTAAAAGAGTGAGAAAGCTAGCCCAATAAAATATGGCAGAAGAAGGAGGCAGCAGGTTGAAACCATCAGATCCAGGTTCACCTTTCTATCTAGGAAGCTCAGATAGCCCAGGGATCCTACTAACAACTGTGATGCTACAAGGAGAAGCCAACTATGAAAACTGGGCAAAGCTCATGAAAAACGCACTCAAGGAAAAGAATAAATTGGGATTCGTGACTGGTTCAGTGAAGAAACCAGAGAAGGAGAGTGAAGCAAAATGGCGTGCATGGGAGATGTGCAATTCTATGATCAACGGGTGGATACACAACACGGTTGATTCAAAGCTCCAACCTTTCATCAAATGTTTTGATGAGGTGAAGGACCTTTGGGATGATCTGAAAGAAAGGTATGCAGTACAGAATTTTTCACGCCAATACCAATTGAAAGCAAGTCTAGCCAACATGAGACAACACGGTAGCAGCATTGGGGAATACTATACGAAGCTAAGGGCAGTTTGGGATGAACTCAAAGGAAGCAAAGGTCGCAAAACTTGCGCATGTGGTATTAATTGTGCTTATGCAAAGGAGATTGAAGAAGAAAGAGAACATGATCGTGTCTATCAGTTCCTTATGGGGCTAGATGAAGCTACCTTTGGGAATTTACGTTCCCAAATCCTAAACAATTCACCACTTCCAAATGTCAACAAAGTCTATGCTACTGTCACTCAAGAGGAGACACATCGTTCTATTGCCCGCAATCAAGAAGAGCGTGATGGTGTGGTAAGTTATGCAGCACGAACAGAACCCAACGTGGAGAATACAATGCAGCGCATGGTACCAGATAAACAAATTGAGAGAGAGTCCTATGTCCTCATTGTGGGAAGACAAATCATGATCCTTCAAGGTGCTGGAAAGTAATCGGATATCCTCCCATTCGAGGTGGATTTCGAGGACGTGGAAGGGGATGGTTCGGAGGAAGGAATAGCCATGAGCAGGTCCACGCCATGCAAACTTCAGAGACAGCACAAGATGCAGCAGCATTCTCCGTCCTAACCCCTGAAGTGGTGAGCAAACTCATGACATTGGTGGATGTACCTCAAACTAGTGACAAATTATCTGGTAAGATTATTCAATCACAGTTGCTTATTGATAGTGGAGCATCACAACATATGACAGGAATGATAGATTTATTGATTGATATTGTGAACATCAAGCCTCTTACGGTGGGATTGCCTAATGGCTCCGTAACCCATGCAGAAAAACGAGGGATAGCAATTCTCAGCCAAAATTTTAAATTAACCAATGTCTTGTTTGTACCTCATTTGCGTTGCAACCTTGTTTCTGTATCTCAATTACTACAAGATAGTAACAATATGGTGATATTTTCTGATGGAAAATGTGTTTTGCAGGACCAAACATTGATGAGGGAGACTGGCATGGGTGATCTTCAAGCAGGCGTTTATGTGTTTCAATCAGAGTGTGCCTCAGCCTCTGCTGTTCACATCCAAGATTCTGTTGAGTTGTGGCATAGGTGATTAGGTCATCCATCTTATGAAGTTATGTCCTTACTTCCATTAGTTTCGAATTTTTCAGCAAAAATTGCATCTAATAAAGCTTGTGAGATATGTTGTCGTGCCAAGCAAACTAGAAATGTGTTTCATTTAACAAATAATCAAAGTAAAGCATGTTTTGATTTGATCCATTGCGATACTTGGGGACCTTATTGTTCCTCCTCTTCTTCTGGTGCACACTACTTTCTGACTGTTGTTGATGATTTTAGTCGATTTGTGTGGGTATATATGCTGGCTGAAAAAAGGGAAACTTGTGACAGAATACACAAATTCTTAGCTATGATTAGAACTCAATTTGGTAAAATGGTAAAAGTAATAAGGTCTGATAATGGGACTGAATTTAAATCGCAAAGCTTGATGAAATTGTATCATGAAAATGGGATAATACATCATACATCTTGTGTCTATACACCGGAACAAAATGGCTGCGTGGAGAGAAAGCATAGGTACATCCTGAACGTGGCTAGGGCGTTGCTGTTTCAAGCTGAACTACCTATTGAGTTTTAGGAGGAGAGTGTACTTGCAGGGGTTCATTTAATAAATAAAACTCCATCCAAAATTCTTGATGGTCGTACTCCTCACGAGCTGCTGTATGAAGTTGCACCAAGTTATGATCATTTAAAAACCTTTGGCTGTTTGTGCTTTGCCAATATGAGACCTAAACCGAATGACAAGTTTGCCTTTCGCTCCTGTAAATGCATCTTCATAGGATATCCAGTGTCCCAAAGAGGCTGGCATTTATATGACTTGGGAACCAAAGAATACTTTGTGTGCAGAGATGTGAAGTTCCATGAAAGCACCTTTCCAGCTCGCTGACATCTTCACAGAAGCTCTGGGACCGTCCATATTTCTTGCATTTCTTCCCAAGTTGGGCATTTCATTCTTACATGCTGCAACTTGAGGGGGAGTGTTTGAGATATAATGTTATCCATATAGATATTAAGTAGATATTAAGCTGTTATGCAGTTGTAAATATTCTACAGATATAGATCACTTTGTTAGGATACACTTTGTTAGGTTGTTGATATTTAGCTTGTTGCGTTTGTTTTTGTAATTAGTTTAAGTCAAATTCTGATTGTTATTTACCTTGCCTATTTAAAGGCACCCTTGTGAATATTGAAAGTAACCTTTTGGTACCAGATTTCATCTTACCGAATATTCTTGAGACTCAATGTTTTTTTTTTTTTTTTTTTTGGGGAAAAAACAAACAGGGAAGAAAAAACAGAAACATTAGGTAGATATCCTGGACCAAGCTACTTTTAGATAATCCCTTTCAAGCCTGTCACGATGATGGAGACGAGACAAACATTTGTAAAGAATAAGCTAATGAAGCCATCTAATCTGCAACCCCATTTCCTTCTTTTTGAATATGGAAAATTCTAAGCATCCAATCCTAAGACAGCATATTCTTGAGTGGCAAGATCAAATTTGAGGCTGGATGATGAGGATTGCAACCCTCTTTCAAAAGATATTGTGCTACCAGTGAATCACCTTCAAGCCATATAAAACAAAAGTCCTTCCAGCCAGCAATTTCAAGGCCAAGGCAGGTAGTTAGCCCCCAAATGGCACTAGTAAATGTTAGATGAATAGTCCCAATATTTGGGCCTAAGCCCAATTAAGATGAACGAGATTGTAGCACAAATTGCAATCTGATGCACTAGTGCAAGCTTGTGCTTTATATCAGAGTAACGCAGAAACATGGAGCCCAAGCCTCTATAACAAATCGGTCCAAGAAGAGGCTCACAAGTCACATCCAAACAAAGGAAGTATTTAGTGGCTGTATAAACTATAAATTAATGTTCCGGTGGTCCATCTGTTTGAAGTCAACCATGGGATTCATACCTTAAATGAGGTGGGGAGCTTTCCCTTTGGTAATTTTTTTTTTTGAGTTAAGCATTTTGTTATTGATGAAGATCGTATTGAGTGAAATAGTGACTTACGTTTACGTTTGCTATTTTAACATGAAATTTTTAAGCTTTTGTTGGTTGTCTCAAACTTTTTGCACAAGAAAAAGAAAGAAAGAAAGTATATTATGCCACTATTGATAGCCAATTTGTTTACATAAATCTTAATAAGAATCAACTATTCGAAAATTTTAACCTATTATTTAAGGACTTTGCATTTCTCATTTAACACGAGGTTAGAAAAATTTCTATAGATACATAATTCAAATGGATCCCATCATAAACTAAAAAAAAATTACACGCAAAACGATCTCTCACTAACATGAGAAAGCAATTCTCCTGTTAAGAGAGAAAGTGTTTTCCCATTATTTAATATAAAAAACTACATGTGATATTCTAAGTGTTGGGCTTCTTTCTGCTTCTTCTGATTGTGGTGCTTTCTTCTGTAGCTAATGGGCCTGGTTTGGTATGGGAGTCCATTACAGTTTATTAACATTCATTGAGATCACCTGAGAAGTTTGTGAAGGATGAAAACTGTTAGTTTAATTACTGAATAAATGATGTGTAACATACCGGTCAAAACAAGAACTTTTTGAGCATCGTTACCTTGCTGCAAATTTTCTTCAGAATCCAATTAATCCAATGTACATATATGATTATTGAGGAACACAAATATATATTTGTAGAAACATAATGCTACTGTCACTAACATGATAACATTGAAGATGATCCACAACCAGAATGTATCGAAGAGGGTCCAAACAAGTGTTTCAATGGCAAGTACTCCAGAAAAATGAAGTACGATATTAGCTAGCCATGTTTCATCTGTTTCAAGAATTATTATTGCAGCCAAAGCAATGGCATGAGCCGATATA